GAAGCGAAGACAGGGCGTGCTCGACGCTGCTTCACAGACTTATTTTATGGGTTCCGAAAGCAACGTTAGACATTCTGGGGGCGTACGCGGAGGACCTCTTTCGGGCGATTTTTGGTCTCGAATTAGTTTGTGGAAAGCTGTGGCGGAGGAAATCACTCGGAACAGGTGTCTATACACCCGTGGGAGGTGAGAGAACGGCTTCGTGTGCACCAGTCTGAGGACCCGTGGCCAGAGGACCCGTGGGAGGTGAGAGAACGGCTTCTTGTGACCCGTGGGAGGTGAGAGAACAGCTTTTTCGAGGCTTCCGAGCTTCACAGACTTATATTACGGGTTCCGAAAGCAACGTTAACGGGTCGAAAGCGGAAGGAAAGGCGTGCTTGACGCTGCTTCACAGACTTGTTGTACGGGTTCCGAAAGCAACGTTAGACATTCTGGGGGCGTACGCGGAGGACCTCTTTCGGGCGATTTTTGGTCTCGAATTAGATTGTGGAAAGCTGTGGCTCCGTGTCCGTGGCTGAAAAGTGTCGTGTACCGTGGCTCCGTGTCTTTATCCAAGGCAAGCCGCTCTATTTTTTGAAGTCTGATCTAGATCTTGCTCAGGGAGCAGTGGTGAGGCTGATCTAAGGGATTCGTTGGATGGACAAGGATGTTTGTCCTTGATTTTGAAGCTGGTTAGGCGGCTTGCGCCCTTTTACCAACAAGCTCCACACTGAAATTGTTCAAACACTGCTGAATGTCCAATACAATGATTCCTGTGTGATAGTGTAGCCGAGTCCAGCTTAGGATGATGGACTTTGAGCGAACGCGCTGAAAAGAGCTTGGCACAGCTTGCAACACTGACAATACAATCACCATCAACCACCTGTACATGACATGTTAAGACCCAAATGTTTTTAACTCACACCTCAATGGGGGGAAATCTCCTTTTATATATAAAAGAACAATTGAATTGATCTATTGCGTTGCGTATAGGCGGACTTCTGTCCTGTTTTCCAGCTTCACGGCTGAAATATAGATCCCCGGGGTCGGCGGCAGGGGGCGGAGCCCTTACAATATATTCGCCCCAGAAAAGGCAAAGGGGGAAATGGATTGAACATGATTAAACATAGAACGGTTCGATTGTTCAAGCAGTAGCATGTGCAAGCCTTCCTCCTCCATCTCTTCCACCGCTTGCGCAGCGGCTTCGCCATTCTCGACCTCACCGAGTCTCGAGAATCATCTCCCGCCGCCGTTGCTTGGACGTTCTGGAAATGGCTGAGACAAAGGAAGAAAAAGAGAAGAAAACGATTGTTAAAGACCTCGACTTGGAGGAAACAACTCATTGATCTCAAGCAAGCCCAACCTAAAACTTTGGAGAGACCCTTCACAAACCAAACTTCAAGTGGCACTGGCTTGCATGTCTATGTTTGCCAAAAGGACTAGGTGATTCCAAAGAACTCCTACAGTGTCCTACAGCCAACGGAGTGTGCGTTGGAGCCCACCTCAAACACCCTGAAACCTCCAACCAGTCCCCTGCAACCCGGGCACGTCACGGGCTCAAACAAAGCGTGTTCTTTGTTGCAAGGAAAAAGGACCTGCTAGAAGCTCCGTTTCCAGAACCACCGCGGACCACTCCAGGAGTAGAGCAAAACACGGATCCCCCGCAACCTCCACGACGCGGCGGCCACTGGGGTCTTCTTTCTGTCTCCGGAGCAAGGCGCAATCCTCTTGCGCTCCAGGGACTTCATCTTCAGATCCTGGGTCCCAGTTCCACACCGGTCCCCCATCCGTCCCCCATCGGTCCCCGGCCGCACGGCCGGGGGCTTTCGGAGGTGGAGAGACCGGGGGGCTTTCTTGGGGATCGGTCGAGGCATCGACTTACAGGACGTATCCACCCACGGCGGCTCAAAGGACAGCTTGATCTATGGATCAACCGAGCTCGAACAGCTCAATGATCGGACCAACTCATCACAGAGCTCAAGTCCTGGGTGAAGTCCTCGGCAAACTCGAGAATCTCCTGGAGTGGCCAGGGAGTAGTGGCCCATTGAAGGGCCCATCTCATGGGACAGCCTGTTCCGGGAGGTTCGGTCCAACCTGGTGTCCAAACCATCGCCTTCGGACCGCATGGGCTCACCGACAACACACACGCCGACATCTTCGTCTCACTCCCATAAGGTTTTGGATGGACTGGGTCTCACCGACAAGGTCGGCACCCAACGTCTCACTCCAAACCGCACTCCGCGCGCGCGACTTTCCAAGAAGCAAGCGACTCAAGTCGAGAAGACGACATCACGACCCTCATGACTTCGGTCTCCTCCAAGCTTACGGCGCCTTGCTCCTCCGCCCACTCGTTGGCGGCCGCCAAGTAAGCCTCTAGCCTGGGCCAAAGTGGTTTTGCAATGTTTTGCATGTTTTGCTGGGCCCAGCACGAAACTGCAGTATCTCCGCACAGCAGTGGGTTTGGGCAAAAAGAAGTCACATGGATTCCATGTGAATGCCTTTTCGGGCGTTTGATGATGAACTCTGTGCTGTGTGCTTGTCCGGACTCATGGCTTGTTGACCAGTGAGTCTGATGGCTCCACGTACGCTGCGGGAAGCTCCTGGCTCCTACCCGGAACCCTTGGGAAGCTCCGACGACCACGACGGCACGGACAGCGACGCACCGGTTCCCGGCCTCAGTTCCCGGAGCCAGGCGCCCAATCGAGGCACCACGTCCTGAGTGTCACAGACTGAAAGTGGATGTGTAGCTCAAATAGGGGGCCCCCAAATCAGCGACCCCCTGGAAGAAGGAATAGAGACCTCTCTAGACCCAGCCAGAGCCAGGGGGGCAACTGCCTTATCAAAGATCAAACATTCTTCTAGAGCATCTATAATCAACAGTGACTGGTTTGATTCCCAGTGGTGGTGGTTTTTGTGGTACAGCGGAGTCTACTGACTTGGGGCCACGGTCGGTCCTCTCAAGCGAGTGACTTGGAAAAAGGAATATCCGAATAGGTACAAAAGACCGAATGGAAAGTCTTTCCAACGTCCACGCAACCTGCCATGCTCTCTCTCCCGTCTCTCCCTCTTCGCGTCCCTCTCTGCCTCTCCCGCAAGAACGAGATTACATGAGATTACTTAAAGGTCAGCGAGATGTTACAGGTCGATTACTTTGGTCTTCTCAATGGGGACTCAAAAGCTGGAGCCCCTGCGTCCCCGAGCTCTGATGGGCTCTGCAGGACACCACCGTGGTCCCATTTGTCTTATTCCCATCAGTCCCTCCACTTCAGCTCAACTGCCTTAGCTGCCGCTGGAGCTGGCACCTGCCAGCAAAGGGGACACCGCTACAGGTGGGAGTCCCAACAAAAACAGGTCAGGCTGCCTCAGGCCATGGCTTTTTTCCTGCGCCAACTGTCGCGGCCATGACTTTCACGAGATCTGAGCAATTATATAGAGAAATCGTCTGGAAACATGACCTACTCATCCAAAGGTCTGTATACCGCCTGCATGTCCCGCTCAAAATAGCTGCAGCCCTTTTCAGCCCTAATTGAGTGCCTTTGGTTTACCCAAGCACACACAGGAATCCGGTCAGAGGCAACTATCTGCTTGTTAGCGCTCTAATGATTTTGTGACAGGTCAGATCTGCGTTTTTGGTTTCAAGGATCTTCCAAAGTCTCTACACCGATGCCAGCTTTGCTCCAGCCCGCCTGGCTTCCTTTGGGTGCCTTGGCTGGGGCCGGCTGCACCTCGGAGGTGCGGGAAGGAAGGCCAACTTGATGTACTGTACGGCCAGGAGCCCCGTCCGTAGCGTCCTTGCTACTCACTTGGAGAATCCCAAGACACAACTTCGTTTCATTCTGTGTCTAGTAATTTTGCCGTGTGCCTACGTGGAGCTGCATGTCAGGGGACATGCTTTTCAGGTCCGCGACCTGAGGCTTTGGATAGCTTGAGGAACTGATGTGGCCCAGCAGTGTCTGGTTGGATGCATACATCTGATTTACAAAGAACTGATGATTCGTCAAATCTGCTCGAGGTCTCCCCAGTCACCATGCCAGCAGCATCCCCATTTCAACAAAGTCATGGTCACTTCGGGCACTCGCACACTAACACCCCATGCCAGCTACGCTGACTCGCTTGCCTTGGGTGCTGCCGCCGGAGCCGGAGCCGGCTGAACCTCGGTGGAGGCAAAAGTCCATCGCCGGGCCAAGGTCTGCACCTAGAACTGTCAACAACCGTCACTTGGGTTGGTCGCCGTCCAGGGTTCCGTGAAGTCGAGTTTCGCCATCCAAAAAGACCTGTTGGGTGAAACGCCTCGCTATGGCCACCTATCTGCGGCCAAGGGGGAAATAGACCACCCAATCTCGAAGTCGAAGAGGGAAATCCAGGATCCCCACCACAGATCCCAAGCTCCCAAGCTCCGCTCCCAAGCTCCGCCTTCGCTGCAGCTGGTGCTGCGGGCGCCGCGGGCGCCGGCCGAGCGGCCGCCTCGCTGGCACCCCGGTGGACCCGGCTTGGGCCATGACAAAGCGGCATCTGATTGGTCAATCCAGTTTGTCAACCGAACCTCTGGCTAGATGGATCATGATCTTAAGGTGTATTTGCATTGAATTGACAAACAGTAGTTCCATGTCAGCGTGGCCGTCTGTGGCATGAACAAGCTGCTCCTTTCGTGCCATCTTTCCAGACTCACGACCGGAGTTCTGGAAGCCAATGGAAAGGGTTGCCAAGCAGGACATATTCCGAGACCCTGTGGAACTTGATTCCTTTTGAGTTTGCAGTAGCTCTTACAGTGTTACAAGTCATTGAAAAGTCTTGGTCAGGCGGCCAGGCACAGGACAGGAAGAGGACGCCACCCCGCTCAGTCGAAGACTAAACAATGTTCTTACAGTCAGTGTCTTATTGGCAGTGCAAGTTATGCCTATACCAATATAATTACTGTACTACACTCCACCCTTCAGCGTCCAAAACCAGATTCCAGGGGGCAACCGCCATTTCCCCCCACCTTCGGCTTGTGCGTGCCATTCACCGCAGCCGCGGCCGGTGCCGCCGCAGGCGCTGTCGCAGTGGTCCGGGAGGTTGCGGACGTCGATGGCTTGCAGTGATCCCAGTACTCCTGCTGTCGGCGTGGGTTGTGGCTTGCTACCATGTCTGATACTCAAGAATCTTGGCTCAATCCCAAAGCCATATTGGACAAACCCCAGTACAAACCACCACTTGCGAAGATGGCTCACCAAAATTGATGAGGCGGGCGAATGGAGCGTGGCTAAATCTCCTCTCTTTACATGAAATAAAACAATCTTTCGGACCACCATGCTGCGGCGTCCTTGATCTCTTGCGGGGAGTATTGTCCCGCATAGTGCTTTTGGAGCTCGGCGAACGTCCTGCCGTTGGGTGTAGTCTTACAACTTTGAGAAAGGGCCCAGGCCTTCCACCCACAGGGTTTCACTGCGTAGTATATGTCTGAGTTGTGGATTGCTGCATGCCAGTAGCTTCTTGTTACTAGTAGCGATGGCCTCCAACCTAGTATAGCTTCTTGTTACTAAGTCTATGTCTGGGTCGTGGATTTCTGCGTGCCCGTTCGTTTGGTTCGGTTTTTAGATCCGAGTGGGTCCGGGTCTCGGCGGGTCTCGACGGGTCGGTCGCGATTTCCCCAGTGGTCGCCGAACGCGGAACGGCTCAGTAGAAGTGAGCCATGATTGTTCAATGACCCTTGTCAAACACAAGACATGTTGCCACAAGTAGTGGGTCTCTCTAGGGAGACCTACCCACATCTGGTGGAAAAGTAGATGATCGCAAGTTCCATGATCCAGCTCACTCATACACTAGAGTCACTAGAGTACAAAAGGAGACAAAAGGGCTTGGCTTTCGGCCAATGCTCCCAACGTCACGGACTGGCCACCCGTGTTCTTCTCCGCCGGGATGGCCCGGGATGACGCCGTGCCATGGCGCCAAAAGGATCACCGAAATCGATGAAACCAGCTCTGTCTCACCCAGCGATGGAGACTCCGGATGGACCAAGTGAGACCTTCGCATCCGAAGACACTCCCGGCTCGGGGCTCGGGGCACACCCCGTCCCTCCAAGGGTCTGGAAAATGCAAGACCTCGCCACCCCAATCGGTGCCGGTCAAAGGCGCCTGGTCACCCCATCTTCGGGATCCACCCGCTTTTCAGGCTGCGGCTTAGCTTTGGGCGCAGCCTGGAGGGGCTGCAGCTTAGCTTTGGCCAACCGACGTGCCATTTCTCCAACAATTGGATGATCCATTCCGCATACGGTCCAAAATCGTGAGATTCGCCAATGGTGCAGGTTCCATTGTACTCTACTGAACACTTTTGGCCAGCCAGTCTTTTCCTAGCGGGGCTCAAATTTGGTTCAGAATTCAGAATTGCTTTTGGAAGGGTTCGCCGGGAGTCCCACGAAGGAGGACAGTTCTCTCCCTTCCACCAAGCCAGTTCCTGATAACTCCCATTTCGCCATGGCTCAAATGTCCATCGAAGTGGGGTACACCCAAAACTCAAAATGGAGAACATAGGTCTTCCTTTTTGATGCACAGCCATTGAAAAGAGACCCACCTCCCAGATGTTCCGTTCGTCATCTCCGCACCTCAGCATGAGCTCCATCCAGGATGGCCATCGCCTGCAGGGTCAAGTAGGGGAAGCCCTGTTTAAGAGATTCTGAGAGAAGGTATACACTGTCTATATCCAACAGTCACATGGTCTTCTTTCCCCATCTTTCTAGTAGATGCCAGTCCTAGGGGAAAGAAAGCTCTTGTGGCCACTTCCATGATTCTTGGAGGGTACCAAAACGGAAGGCGAACCCTTTTCAACCCTCTTCGCTTTCGGGGCCCGGCCTCATCCAAGCGTTCGGCCAGCTTGTTGTGATCCTCCAAGCCTCGGGAGAAAGGTGGAGGCGGAGGCGAAAGGGCAAAGCGATGGAGGGAAGGAAGGTACCGCCCTTGGTGGGTTGGGCTGTGTTTGTGTGACATGTTGGTGGTACTTTCCCTGGTGGTGAAGAACTTTCCCTGTCACCAGGGGTTGTTGACCCACAAAACGAACAGCATGGTCAACCGGGGAATCCGAAGCAACACAAAAGGTCTTGATCCCGGAGCCCCAACAAAATGTCGGTAAGTTCCATGGCTTTGAGACAAAGCTCCATGCCTTTATTTGGTACTTCAGAAGGCGACTGAAAGGCCAGACCTTCCGGAACTTCTCGTTGGGTGAACCAGTTCTCCTCCGTCACAGGTGCGCGCCATTCGCCTGATTGGTTGCCCCAGGTGCAGGCCCAGCATTCGGCCTCACCCAGCTGCAGGAGCATGCCAGTGAGCTTCGGCGCCAGTTCAGGCTGCACCTGCTGTACCTAGACCACCGGACCCAAGAACAGCGAGACCCTCGCAGTCGCGGACGGCGAGACCCGGGAAGACTGCAGGCTTGAGAGGGTTCGGAGGTCTCCGATGGGGTGCACACCACATGACGGGCATGATGCTTCTAGTTTCTAGTGATCTCTAGTGTATATAAATAGCCAGGCTCTGCATTGGGTAACGGCGGTCGCTCGCTCCGGTCGGACATCGTTGGGGCCATCGCGGTCGTCGTTGAGCTTCGGTGGCCAGGCATCTACGGTCCACGTTCATGGAAAACATCAACGGAACGAAATCTGTAGTGAGATGTTGGGCATGTGTCCATTTTTGCCAAACAGCAAGCATGTGAGAACTCAACAAGAAAAGACCCTTCTGGATCCTCTCGCCGAGGTGCCACGGCAAACAGCTCATTGCCCACATCGCCCATGGTGCCAGGAGCGGCCAGGGGTGGGGGTGGTTGGGGTTCTTCGATGTCTCATGTGCCAGGCAACAAAAATGGGATTGCAAAACGTCCCCACATGGATAGTAGACAGGAAAGCCATGCATTCTTTAGGGGGAAGAAACTGTTCTATCGTTCTATCTCGATCTCCAACGATCGCTATGAATCGATATTCATCGGTTCAAGCACTTTCGCAACGCCCGGGGGGTTCTATATTCATCTGTTGAGGCATTAAGGCTGTGAGCTGCCAAAAGGCTCGCGTGGGTTGGTTGGGAAGGGTGATTGAAACCGTCTAAGCGCCTTGTTGGGTATGTCGGTATGTATCAATGTTTTCTCAGGCATCGGATTGCTGTGGCTAATCTACGGCATTCACCTCGCGACAAAGACCTGTCCATTTCACGAAGTTCTGTTGGTTGGACATTCGGTAGACCACTGTTGCTGTCACTGTGTTCCTTCCAAACACCGCCTTGCTTGGGGCCCTCAGTGCCAGGACCCTGCGCCGAAAACGCGCCTCTGCTTGGAGCACGCACACCTCTCTACATCGCCAGTGCCGGAACAAATCCGTTCTGTTGGGGGGTTTCCCTGCCTTTCGAGGGATCGCTCAGATTCGATGTGGTTGACTCAGCCGGTTGCGCCAGCCGGGATGGGCGGTCTCGAGCCAGCTGTCCGTCGGGCGAGGTTAGGTTCACAGGTCTCAGGAGTCATTGGTTCGAGCGACTTCTCACCAGACTCTTGGTGTAGTGGTCAAGAGCCAGGACTTCTGAGGCATGAATCTCTCTAGTACATTCTAGTACTACCAGCTTCAGCTCTACGCTGCGATGAAGCGCGCGCGCGCCTGGGCCGTTCTCGGCGAACCGTTCGGCGGTCGCAGCATCGACCTGGACCGAGCAGCAAACAAATGGTAGGGAGACCTGGCAACGACCCCCTGGAAGGGTGTATAACAAGGGTGAACTATGAGATAGCCTTCAGAGATTCTGTAGGGAGAGCCGGCACGATCACCTGAAATAGACAAAAAAATTAAAAACCTACCAACCCCCGACATACTGGGGGGGCAGAACTGCCTGCTATTTGCTGAGCAAGCCCAGATCTGGTGGATGATCCTGATGAGCTTTTTGGGATTCGCCCGAAGTCGTTGGACGCGGCATCGGGCCAAAAGGTGCTCGTCCAGCGACGAGCCACTGGAGGGGGATCACTTGCTGTGGACACGCGCCAGGTCAGCCAAGCGCTCCTGACAAGGAAAAGGACGACAAGCATCCCATGCTGCCGGGTGAATCTACGTTTCTGCCTTGCACCAGATAGACATCAAAGAAATAAACTGAAGGTCCAAAAACTAGGAATGGTCTTTACTGGACGTCTGAAAGGGACTTTCAATACCACTTCGATAGAGAGTATCAACTAGGTTGCAAACGAAAAACCTGCTTCAAACCGTTCACACCTTTGATCTGGCTTCCAGCCGCTCCGGCGCCCAGCCAAAAAAGGCACCCCTAGGGTCGCAGCTCCTTCTCTCTTTCCTTCAGGGCATCCAGGTCAGGCTCCTGCGAGCTTCGGCACGGTCTTCACAGAGTTAGGTGCCCTCTTTCTGAATGTTCCCTTTAACTTGTTAACACTTGGCCTCCAGACACAGCCGCAGATTCCTCATGTTTCCGTGTGCTTTCGCTCGCATTCCCAGATCAACACGACCAAAACCTCAGTTGCTAGACTGGCCAAACACCTTTGTCCCGGCTTCTCCTGCCCAAAAAGAATCACCTCCGCTCCTTCGGCTCCAAGCCCAACGCCCGGGCCACCGCCAGCAACGCCTCCGGTCCACGGCAGCCGGGTCCCAGGTCGCACACCATGGCGTCGAGCTCCTCCACAGTGAAGGGCTCCAAACCCGAGAGGTACCTGGAGAGCTTGGTTTGGGCAGGTGCATGGGTGATCTGGGAGATCAGGTCCGCATGGATGATCTGCAAGAGGCCGGAGCCAAATGTGGCGAAAAACAGGCAAGAACATGCAGTCCGCTGTGGGCTGGGCCAACTGAACTTCTGCAACAAGCAGTGGGAGCAGGGTGCACTTGGTGCACTTGGAACCTGGAACAGGCCTGCCAGAAGCTGAGGGGGAAGGTGAGGGCATCCACCAGAGCTTCGTTGCGTCAGGTAGGTGTATCGAGCCTGATGCCCCTGCATTAGAATCCTCTTCTGGTCCCATAGAAACAGGCTGGGATCTTCTATGTACCAGGGCTCTGCGAGTTGTTTTCTGATCTGTTCGGGTACTCAAGATGCCGACGCCTTTGCCCTCTGGACCGGTCCACGAGTTCGACCAAGACCGCGCACTCGGCCATCTGCATCTTCTTGTAGTTCTCGAAGGTGTATGGACCATATGTCTCATGAAACTGCTTTTCATGCCTCCAGTCCTTGGCTTCGGATAGCATGGCACTGAAAAAACCATGAGAGCTCAGCAGGTTCAACGAGTTGGGGATTTTCCAATACTAGTCTCAAACATCATGAGAAAAAATGTGCCTTTGCAGATCCCAGACTCTTCCACGGTCTTCTTGGTGTTGCTGAGATAATTCTCCAGCCTTTGTAAGGACCCGCTGATCACCACCTGGCGATCCGCGCGTCGCAGTCTTTCGTTTAATACATACTTTAAAAAGCTTTAAAAAACAAATATATATTAAATATATATATATATATGTATATACATATCATATAATCGAGAATGTCCAAGATTCAGCACCCTTGACACCCGCTCTCCAAACCGAGGACTTTCTCCGGTTCGCCATCCGTCCACCGCCAGCGAAAGGGGTCGTTCGGGCGCCTCCGGATCGCAGTCGAGCCTCAAGAAGGTAATCCCAGGCAAGACCTGAGCTACAGGCTACAGCCAGTTCACCTGGTAGAAAATCCTCCTCAAAACAGGAAAACAGGATGCTTCTACACTCCCTGAAGTAAGCATAGGTGTGGAGTGCACCACCTATTTGGTATTCGGATTTCATGCCCATCCTTTTGGAGCGCCATCCACTTCCATGATCTTGTGGAGTTTTATCCCCATTGTATCGCTGCAAAAAATCCATCGCTGCATCGCTGCGTTTTCAGAAGGCTCACCTGGCGGAAGTAGTCGCGCATCTCCTTCCGGTAGACCGAGAAGGTCAACGCCAAGGGCGACGGCCTTGCTGCCCGCGAGCAGCGCACGAAGACGGAGGTGCCATCCCGAAGCCACTGGTCGTCCAAGACCAAAGCTGGGCAGGTTCCCAAATCCTATTTGTTTGAAGCCACATATCCACCGAAACGGGAACCTGTCACAGACCCCCCAAATAACATACTGTAAATAAGGTGGGAGCTCTTGGTAACAATCGTCACCACAAACGAGCCTGAAGTACAAATGACCGGGCCGCCCGTCTGTCAAATGGGCTCATCCATTTAGAGCTGGTTTCACATGAAGTTGGGATGAAGTTGGGCATGGGGTCCATGGGGTGTGGCGGAAGGCCACCGGGCCCGGGCCCTCGCTTCCAGTGCGATCGAAGGTACTGGGAGGCGCACTGGCGTGCCAGCTCATCACAGTAGGGTTGCCACAGTTCGGGTGGCGCGGGGAGGTTCTTGAACCAGTACTGGTAGAAGGACTTCAACTCGGCGCCCCGCTGGACAGCGAGGAGAAGGTGCTACTCTCCAACGCACATGTTCACATGGAATTGGAAAATGATGCCCCTGGGAATAGGCGGTTTTCCATAGTGTTCTTCTGCAAGCAGGTGCTCTGTTTCCGTGCGATTTGTTCATCAGAGGGTCAAAGCTTTCTAACCAAACTTGGCGCAAATCGGCAACGATATGAATTGCTGGTCTGAGATTGGGAGCTTGATCCTTGGGAGCTTGACCGGAGCCCGCGATTTCCAATGGGTTCAAGGTGGCAGTTGACTTCAACCCGCAATATCACACATGAGTGGTAGACAAAGTCAATGATTTCGCTCACGCCGCTTGGCCAAAAAAGCATGTCTGTCCCGGATCAACAGCAGGAATGAGTTATGTAGCTGCAAGGGAGCTCTCCTTAGCTTCCTTTTGGAAGAGGAATCTGGATATCCCATACAGCTCCGTCCAAAACACCAGCTATATCGTCGATGTTCCTGCTCTCGACCTCATGGAACCTCGGGGACCAGGTGTCCGCCAAGATGCCAGTCCTTCCTTCAGCCGCTGGCTCTGCTCATCACTCTGGTGCAGGAGGCGGTCCCCATCCAGGTGGCTCCACCCATGCGTGCGCCTGTCCGCCCGGCGCCGCCCAAACGAACTCGGCCATGCGGATCGAGCGCATTCCGATGGCCAAGTCCTATGCCTTGGGTCTATCCTAATAGCAGGGCCTCAGTGGATGATGGTTGGTGAAGGTTCCAAAATAGTGTTACCTTGTTTACATTTGTTTACAGGTCCTGTTACAGGTAAGTGTTCGGACAGACCCAACCTATGCCGCCCCAACACGATCCATCGCCGCAGCCAGCCTCTACGTTCGGACTCTTTAACCCCTGCTCTCCGCTTCTCCACGAAAGGAGAAGACCGTGTTCGCAGGATCAAGGAAACGAAGGGACCCACAAAAAACAACTCCGACGAACACATCCCTATCTGACATGGAAGATTCATGGGAAAAAGCAAACGGTTCGAAAAGGAATAATTCTCGTCTTCCAAGGGACCATGCGTTTTTCACGGACACCATGATTCGTGGAACCGCGTCTCTTTTCTCGATGGGTTCGACACCGGTGGTTCCCTGACCGTGGCCACCGACGGGGACCGGCGGCCGAGGCACTCCAAGTAGCTGCCAGCGAAGGTCTTTCTGGCGCCAGACCACCCGGTAATGCATACCACACGTGGGAGTCCAGTCATCCACAAGAAGCGAGGGTGGTGGGTGTTTTATCTTTGTCTGCTGTCCAACAGTCGGTGGTTGACCCGATAAAAATCGCAGAAAATCAAGAAAGCACCGTGTTTGTTTGCGGATATTCATGGTGATAAGTGATAGGATGGTGATATGGATACCCAAACAAAAATTGGTGTTGATCCTTTTGACACGCCTTGTGGAGCTCT